AATGAAGTACTTCTGGTAAAGGTACAGTGGGAGCACAGGAGGGGATCCGAGCGGACGTGGGAGCCGGAGGAAGAGATGCGGGAGCACTATCCAGAATTGTTCGTCGCAGCAGACTTCGAGGACGAAGTCTGGTTCAAGTAGGGGAGAATTGTAACACCCCGACTCCCAGGTATAAGTTTTAAAACCTTATATACAAGTTTATGGACTTTCTCGATGAGTTGGTTGCCCTAACTCGTCGTGTAGAGGCGGGTTAGCCCGCGTGGATTATTAGACCTACTCGGCGAGTCGGAGGACCCTGACTCGACGAGTAGGAGCTGGAAAATGAAACCCTAATTTCCGGGGTTTTGCACCCTATTTAAAGGGTCATTAGCCTCCCTCAACATCCCTTACCGTCCCCCTTGAGTCCAGAAAACCCTAATCTCGAATACCCTCCATTTGTGTGTGTGAAGAAGCTTGGAAAGTGGTTTTTGTGAAGAAGGCTTGAAGTCTAAGGAGCTTGGAGCAAAGAAAAGCTTGTGGATCTGACTCTACTTCATCTTGGCATCATTTTGAAGGTAACAAGTCATTACCTTGACTTCCCTCTAGCTAGATCTCTCCATGCTTAAGTTTAGGGCCATTTTGGCATATATGTGAACAATTTCGGGTATGGTCATGATCTGAAGTTGTAACTTCAGATTTGGACTTCTATTAGTCCCTATAGCCATAAAGTTATCAGATTTAGCAAGCTTGGGCCCTTCTCTTTGGGTTAAACCTTTCCCTTAGCTTGGTTTTGGCATTTAGGACCATGCATGTACGTAAAGTTTGCAGCTTTACGTGGAAACCATGCCTAGGAGGTTAGATCTGCAATATGGAGCTTTGGGGTAGCTTAAAAACGTCTGGATAAGGAATGGACTGAAGGGACTCGATGAGTCGCATAGCCGACTCGACGAGTAGGTTGAAGATTGCCTGTATTGATTCTGCATGAGCTCTGCGAGTCAGTAAGAGGACTCGACGAGTTAGTTAGGGTTTTCCCGACATTTGGACCCCGCATGGACTCGGCAAGTTGTCTGGAAACTCGGCGAGTCAATTAGGGTTTTATGATTTCCTGAGTTCTTAAGGAACTCGACGAGTTGCTAGCTGCACTCGACGAGTTGGGTCAACATCGACTGTTAACCTTGATCGTTGACTTTGACTTTGACCAAGGGTTGACCAGTTTGACTTCTGGGGGTATTTTGGTAATTTGGGAATTTATGGAAGTGGATCATTGGTGGATGTAGGTGTTGGACTTGGAGCTGTATTTGGTGGAGTTTGACTTTATCACTCCGAGCTACTTGTGAGGTGAGTTCTTCTCACTATATCAACAGGGTTTAAGGCACCAATGTCGGCCCTTTTTCAGATTCGTATCCGGGTTATTGCATGATATGATTATTGATTTACATCCTGGTAGTTAGGATGGTGATATGTTTAGTGAGCTGGTTAGGTCGGTATCCTAGTATATAGGATGATGCTATGTTAGTGACCAGTTAGGTCTGTATCTTGGTTATAGGATGTTGCTATGATTAGTGATCTGTTACATCGGTTTGACTGTTATATATGCTAGCGTATGATATTTATGTGCATATGATTGTTTGATTGGGGGTTGGGTTGAGGCGGTCCTGCTTTGTGTTGAAGACCAACATACCCAGGGCGGTCTGAATAGACTGAAGGCCCTGCGAGGCGGTCCAGACGTGTCGAAGGCTCGGGAGCGGTCCAGATAGGCTGAAGGCGCTACGAGGCGGTCCAGTCAGGCTGAAGGCTCATTATGCATGCTGTTTGTTTATATGATATGATTATGATTGTATGACGTTGGTATTTTGGGGGAACTCACTAAGCTTCGAGCTTACAGTTGTTGATTTTGTTTCAGGTACTTCTGATGATCGCGGGAAGGCGAAGGCGTGATCGTACACTTCCTTATGTTTTCATGATTTGATTCTGGGATACTCTGACATTATACTATTTTGAAAACAAGTTTTGTAATAATCATTGGTTTTGAAATGTTTTAAAAAGTTTTTAATTGGCGTGATTTTTATGGGTGTTACAGAATCATTGAAGGAAGGAACAATTGGATTCATTTTGAACCTGAAAGAATCACACAAGAAGTGGAACATGTCGCCGCTGGCGTCTCCGCCGTCGACACCACCAAGACCACGACCGTCGTCTCCACCATCTCTAGGGTCCAATAACAACAGGTCAGCGGTTTTGAATACAAGAGGCGTAAATCGGTATGATAGAAGGATGGAGGTGCACTTGTTCGATAGTTATAGACTATCGCCGCCGACGCCGCCACCACCATTGTCGGGAGGGGAGGAAACGACAGACTCCATGCCGGACCAAGTAGGAATGAACCTGTGATGGGTATTTTCACAAGACGGAATGCTAACGGAATGTCAACTGCGTTACTGGGAGATAACGGCTCCATTAATATTAGGTCATTGTAGATCTGGGCTAAAAAAGGGCATGTGGGCCGAAATTAGAGTGTTGGGCTCATATCACGCAAAACGGACAATGGAGTCGATAGGTAACATTTTTCATTTAAGCCCAAGTTTTATTAAAACAGAGACGACTCTTCTTACTAAAGTCAAAAAGGAATTAAACCAACGTGCACGAGAATTACCGATTTCTCATACTCGCACAACCGTCTTTTCCCCTACCGATCAACACTCCATGGACGACCTCTTTCTCGTGCTTGGAAACCATCGTTCTGGCGTCGGATTCTTCCAAGTTTGTCCCCAAAACCCTAAGGTTTATTTTGATCAAGGCAGAGACAGCCACAATTATGATTAAAATCAACCGGTTGTCGAGTTTTATCAACAACACTTCCTATAGCAAGGAATCCATGGAAACTCTTGCTACCTGTAATGATGTTGATATCGGATCTCAAACATCCAAAACATCCTCCAACCCCGTCACGAGATTTAAAGGAGAATGTAACGGAAACATGTATTGGATCATTCTTATGAACGGACACTTTGACTCTTCTTCTAAGGTCACTACGACTCAGGCGACACTTTAGTAGTTGACTACCATGAAGGTGTCAATTCACAAACATTAACTGTTATTCGTCAATTCTGTGGAGAAAGAAATCATTTTTTTGAACTTCCATTCTCTCATACTTTTGTTTACACTTGGATGGGTCTTTCAGATAAAGTCTTGCATTATGTTCTTAGCTTCAGGAAACTTGTTGTTCCTTCGGCTCTTACGATGATGTATATGATTTTTGTTGGTCTTTGTGGAGAAATAAGTACAAGCGTTTCATATGAATTAGGGGTTGCAAGACCTAAACATGTGCGCTTGGCAGTTTGTGTTGTGATTATGATAGAATTTTCGGGGAGTGTAACAGTTGGAACTGGTACAATTTTAGTATTTCAATTCAGATTTTTGATCCTCTTTATGAGTTGACACTAAAGAAGCAACGGCCCTTATTAATTGTTGTTGAAGATAGGGGTAGTGATGTGTTGGCTACCTTGATTCTCAACAGGATATGTGTTAAGGCTGGTAACATTAAAGCTGTTGGGTTTGATGAGAACAAGAAGGAAAAACTGCAAGTTCTGGCCACCACCTTTACTGGAGATCAGCTTATAATGAAAGAACTTGGAATGAATATTGAGCAGGTGGAAATGGACACAATCGGGTCTAGCACATGTGATCATGATAAAGAGATGTGTCAAGAAAGGTTAGCCAGGTTTTCTGGTGGAGTTGGGATACTAAAGATTGTAAGAGCTAGCGACACCAAAGTAAGTTTAAAGAAAATTAGAGTTACAAATGCTTTAAAGGTCACCAATGCAGGTGCTGAGGTCCTTGTTGAAGTCCCATGTAAGTCTGAGAATGTTGTTGGGGAAATGATGACACCAAGGGAGGCTCCTAGTTACTTGTCCTTATATGTGATTGTTAATGAGAATAGAAAGGTCATTAAAGCTGTCAAAACGATCTTGGATGCAGCCTGGAAGAATTTGGGTGCTATACAACATTTTCATTCACCTTGAGGACAAGGTGAAAGTTTAGGCCGCCAGTATTGATAAGCCCCAACTTTACTGGTTTATAGCATAGGGGTATTTCTGTCTTTTATATATTTATTTTCCTATTAGCAAGTCTACAGCCAATCATGGGTGGAAACAATTGTTAGTGGGGGCAACACCTGATTATGTTGGTTGTTATTCCCTTTTGTCTTGTCTCTGGTGTAAGTATAAATAGACCTTATGTTTTAGGAAGTAGGCAGCTAAGAATTATTAAGAATTGAAGATTGTTCTTCTTGGAGAGTCCATTCCTCTCGAGTGAATGGAAAAACACTGATATCTTTTATATGTTTCATAGCTTGATTATCAATGGAGTCTGTTTCTTGTGCACAGATGTATCAGAGCCTATCACTCACACCTAGTTTATGTCAATAAATGCTTATAAAATCTTCATATCCAACTACTTAAAACTCCTTATTATCGGTGTCGAACACTCAAACCATAAGTCAATAAACGTTTCAAATAAGCAATTCCAAACACCCACTTAGTATGGTTGGATTATGTCAAGAATGTTTACAACATATTCTCCATACATTTTTTTTGAACGTCTATGAATTTATTAATCAACACACCAACTGGAAAGTATACTAGTTATATCATGCTTCCCTATCAAGAAGGATTCGTAGTGTGAAACAGAAAAATTATCCACATATATTCACATTCCTCCTTAAACCTGATGCAACTTATAGTATCCTGATAGATTGCAAGGAAAAGATTCTGGAAGCATGTATACACACCGGACAATCATTTTTGGAATGTTGGCTCTTTTTTTCTATTGAACATTAAACATTTATGAGCTACCTTTTTTCCAACCTACTGATTGGGAGGAAAGAGAACATATTGATAATCCATGTGTTTAGCAAAATAAAGACCTTTAAGATTTGTGCTTCTACACTATCTATCTAGCTCTTAGTTCACAAGAAACTCCATGAATGAGTACATGTAGACATATACTTCTGTTTCACTTTCACCTTATTAGACACCCCTATGAATGCAGAAATACAATATACTAATAGAAGTTTATATAGAAGTGTGATGTTTAACAACAAAAATTGCAGCAATCTAGAGTAAAATTACTTTATCAGTTACAAAGAATAGCTAGGAATGCTCTGCAAAAACTTACTTCTTGCTGCTGGATCATTTGAGAACCTACCAAGAACAGCAATGGTGGCTGTATTGCTACCAAATTTTTCAATCCCTCTAGAAATCATACAAGTGTGATTTGCTTCCACAACCACCATTAAATCTCCACCCAATAATGGAGCAACAGTCTCTGCAATCTGTCTTGTAAGCCTTTCCTGTACTTGAAGTTTGAAACCATAAAAATGAACTATTGATTGTAGAAGAGATTTCCCTTTTGGATTCACTTCTTCATCAGACATGTAACCTATATGAACTAAACCGTAAAAAGGTAGTAAATGGTGTTCACAGAGTGACCATAATGATAAATTCAATTCAGACTTGATATGTTCTTTATAATTCACACGCCCGATTGTTCTCAAAGGGATACCATTAAACTCACTGAGTTCCATCTCCAAATTTGAATCTTTAAAGCTCATGAGCCACTTGACAAAACGATTAGGAGTACCCATGAGTTCTTTTCTACATGGGTCTTGACCTAGGGATTGTATGATGGACCCCACAGCAGCAACCATTCCAGATTTTGAAGGTCCAATTTTGAAAGATCTTGAAGGACACCAACAAGAAGCTTTGGTTCTTGAATGAATGGTTTCAATATTGATGTCTTTATGTCTTAGAAGACCCAAAAAGTCAACCCACATGGCAGAATCGTCTTTTTCAAAAGAACCTGAACCAGACCCGACTACAACCTTGACCCATTTTGAGTGATCAGAGTCGAGACACCCAGGGGCAAAACTGGGAAAGTGAATATGTGAGCAGTGAAGAATGACAGCAGCACCAGTTGGTTTGATCCAATGTTGTAGAGCTAAACAGATTTCATCTGCTAAACGTTGTGGATCTTGGAGTCTTTTTGCAAAGATGTCGGCGACCCTTGAGAGTTTGCTAAGGCCCACAACACGTTGACCAGATGGAATATAGCCTACGTGGCATTTGACCTGGAATGGGAGTAAACAAGATTCACAATATGAAAAGAGATCAAGATCTCTAACAAGAACAAGCCCACCAGCTCCTCCAGCTTGACCAACTCCATTTTCGACTCCTACTTCAGGAAATAATGCACCTTGGATTACGTCTTTCACCTTCTGATTGTAGCCTGGAGAAATTCAAAATCGTTAGAAAGATTTTCTAGATTCGTTGAGAGTTTGAAGTCACTGCTTTCAAACCAAATGCCAAATTTCTATGTAATTCTAGCAAACTGTCAAACTAAAATACGATTGAAATGAAACACGGAATGAAGATAAGAGTGGTGATATAATGAAAATGAGCGAACCTCTGGTCCCTTCGCGAAGAGCTTTGGCAACACGAAGAGGGGTTTTCCTAATCCCTTCTCTATTGATGTCTTCACCCAAGCCCTCTAGCAAAACTTTGACAGCATCTTCAATGGCTACAGTCTGTGGGTCTTGCTCAAAATCAAGCTCAACACACCCACCAAGGTTTATCCCATTCTCTAGCCCCAAATCGTAATGACAATCATCCAAAGCTCCCATTGAACAGACCCTAATTGAATGAATCACAAACCCAGATGGGTTTGAATTGAATCTACAAATAAACCCTACTCTCTTTCTCAATAAAATCAAATTTTGATTATAAATATCCAAGATAAGAAAACCCCAGTATAAATCTGATAAACCCTAATCCCTTTTACAATGGAAATGCAATCTATTATACCAAAAAACAGCCAGAACGATCTGTATATAATCTTTGAACAAAACGAGGCAAAACAGAAAAACCCCAGGTCAGATAACACCGACAAAAGGATAGAAATTTGATGACGAATGAATGAATCTTGGAAGAATGAAACCTGGTTCAAGAATCTTATCAAAGGGGGACGAGGGCTACCGGGGTACCAAGGAAGAAGAGGGGAGATGAGATATGTGTGTGCTGTGTGCGCAATTTGTGTGAAGTGTGTGAATATGTAGAGATGAAAGGAGTGCCATTGATTTTGGAATGTGTGATAGATACATACATATCTCTTTTTTTATTTGGAAAAAGATCAAATCTTTGAACTTGGACCATATTGCTTGCGACTTGCAAGTGCCGTTGAAGGTTTTGGTTTTTGTCGTTTTAATGTTGGTGGACACTTTTACGTTAAGATCTCTGTCATTAATTTATAATATAACCGTTGAATCTCATTCAAAGAAGAAAAAAAAATTGTGATGTTTGATTCGGAATATTGATTGGTAATAATATTTGATTATTTGCTAGAAATCTAAGATGCATTTAATACCAAAAATAAATAACTTTCAGACCAAATCACTAATAATAAGAAGGGAAAAGCACTTCAAAGCCACTTTAACCATCACTTATTTTGATCTACAAAAACCATTCATATTGGCTAAAAAGTTCAATATTACCATTTTAATATTGGCTAAAATGTTCAATATTATCATTTTAATATGTTAGGTGTCTTGTTTTATATGTTTCTTATTCTTAAAAAATCACTCATTTTATAAAAAAAGTTCGACGACCAGTACTACCAATGCTAATACGAATGCATTTTTTATACTCTAAATAATAATATATTTATGTAAACATTCTATAATTTATTTATGTTCATCATAGAACTCTACGAATGCATTTTTTATACTCTAAATAATAATATATTTATATAAACATTCTATAATTTATTTATGTTCATCATAGAACTCTTATAGTTTGTTTGAATGATCCATATACACATAAACAAAAAGTAAATAAAATGTTCTATGTTTTATGGAGAATACAAAAACAACCCAGATCTATATTTTATATTCATAAAAGTGTCTATATACAAACCCATTTTTATTTTGTGTACCAAATAAGAAAATAACATTATTTGAAACTATATAGTTTGTATGAATAGCCAATATACATGTTTTGTAATTTGTTTTTTGAATTATATGATGGAAAGAAATAAATAGTAGAATTTTTACATTAATATCTTGTTATTTTGACTATAAAAAATATATTCATGTTACCATTTGTAGTAGCGGTCGCAATGGACTTTTTTTAAAGCTTCTGTTACTTTCTTAGAACTAAATTACCTGCAAAATTGGCACCAACATGTCAATGTGGTGGTTAAACCGGATTCATGTGAAACTTTAGTGTTTTATGTGCTTTTCCCTGGTAATAATTGTTGATATGATTATTTTAATTCACTTATTAGAATAACTGAATAAGAGAATTGATAGTGATTTATAAAAATTATATTTTATAAGATACCAAATAAATAAATCTTATAAAAATGCCTAAAATAAAAAAAGGATTAAATTGGCAGAATGTTAGTATATTTAAATATTAATATTTTTTAAATCATGTTAATATTCATATAATTTCAATCGTGCTAGAAGATCAAATTAGTTTTGCAGGTTGTTTGTAGTTGAGTTATAGCATTAAACCAAAAAGAACACTACCCAAGCAATGATGAGCTGTGGGGATTTCCTCTTCTACAACGGGTTATGTCGAGTATACTAGGAGAGCATAAAACCTCCATATCATTCATGTATTTAAAGTCATCTCTTTAACTGAGGAGGACTGTAGAAGGGAGTCCTCAATACAGGGCATTCCCAAAGATTGAAGATGACTACAGCCAAAAATCCTCAAAAAATGACATGATCAAAGCAAATGAGTGAAGCTGGAGACAAGTTGTCATAAAAGAATGTAGAACATTGCAAGAGAAGGAACACAGGGAAAGTCCTTAAAATAGGGCATGCAACAACATAAACATTTTTATCCATAGAAAAAAAAAATCAAGTAATTGTTTTGAAGTTTTCTAATATAATCTTAAACTACACCACCAATGTTAAAGTGCTAACAGAAATAAGGAGAGTTGAAGACGAGATATCATTAACCAAGAAGTATATATATCCCCTACCCGATTGATCTCCAACACATTCATTTACCTTTAGTTGAAGGCATGAGTAATGTTTATTTTAGTGAATATATCCCCATTAAGAATGACACACAAAGTTAATACATAAATTAAATAATAGATTTTAAGCAATAATAATAATCATTTTAGTTCCAACCTACTAATTACACTTATCTCATAGTGGTCGCTAACTACAAAATAAACAATTGTTTCCCAGATTTGTTTTAACAAATTGCATTAAAAAAAATTAAAAATTAAAAAATAAAATAAAAAATAAAAAATAGTGTTGATTTTGCAATTGTTGGTGAAGCTCACCAACCCCACTGTCACTTTCCAGTCCCACATATTTTGAATTGAGGTAAAAAAAAATAGCTTTAACTACCTTTCCGTCAAAGGGCTGCCTAACATTTGCTTTATAGTTTATTATTATCTTTTATACGATTAAGTTTATTTTCATATAAATTTAAATCAATGAAATTATATTATTTCAAAAAAAGGTGTGTGTGGGTGGAGGGTGTATATGAAAAGTCTTCAATTACAAATATTGATTTGTTTTAGGAATCATCTTTACTTTAGACCGAACCTAAACGTCTAAACCTGTGAGAACTAAAAGGGCTAATGTCATAAAAACCATCAAGTTTTCAGGGTTTTGTCGGTTTTGCCTAAAGTTGAAATTTATGTCAGTTTTTACACAAACATTTTCGAAAAAATGTTCGGTTTTACCCTTTTACCGGTGATAACAGATTTTCCAGGTTACCATTATATTAAATTCGCAAAAAACCCTTAAATTTACTATTTTTTTGCGTTTTTATCCTTAAGTTTATATTTTTTTTTACACTTTAACTCTAAGTATATTTTTTTCATAATATACATATTCATGCAGAAAAATCGTATTTATATACGAAAAAATATTTAATTAAATATTGTATTTATATTTTTTTTTTAATGTTATATATATTAAATGTTGTATTTATATTTTTTTGATGAAATCCATTGTAATTTATTGATTTGGTCGTGCCTTCAGTCTCTCCTCTATACCTTGAACGTAATTTATGTTAGAGCACTCTGATTTATCATAAATTACTTTTAAAGCTTATTTATTATATTAAACCAAATAAAATTTTGTTTTAAAAAACTTCTCTTGTGCATAAAAACCTTGAAGTCTTTTTAACAACTAACTCTAATCTTTTACTCCTTTGCTCACTTTTAACCCAACATATTCTTACTGAAGTCGTACAATAAATAAACAACACGATCAATAAATTACAATGGATTTCATCAAAACAAGATTGAAAAACTAATCTGTTATGATTATGGAAGCCAATTCAAGAGTTTGAACAAGTAATTAAAAAGAATTTGAACAAGATTTGACCAATTGAAGAATCTTTTATTCAATCACTTGTAATCATACATGAAGCAATGAGTAAACACAAGGCACAATATGAACTTGAAAGTGGGAGTCAAAGAATGAACGCCCCTGATGCCACCTTTATCTAGACCATCACTTCCATAAATTTACAAAATGGAAATCACATTGACAACTTTAGACCATCACTTCTACAAAATGGCCCCTGAACTTTATTAAATGCCACCTTTATCTAGATTATTGATTATCCAAGTCTACAAGATTAAAAGTAGTGACTTAAACTCTTAATGGATCAAGAAAATCTTTCTACAAACACATTTTAGGTAAATTCATCATTATGGTCTCTTTATAAACACGATTTACAACTTTTTTTATAGTTTAGTTTATTATATAGATTACATGTTTGATGAAGAAGTGAACCCGAAAGGGAAATCTCTTCCACAATCAATAGTCCACTTTTATTCACACCCAGTTGTTATATACTACTATTTACACAGTTCAAGATACCCTCAAACTCATACAAACATACCTGGTTTTTGGTTGACAAATGACAAATCTACCCCTACCAAATGTGACGAATCTTCGCCCAATCTATCTCCACACTTGGTTCACGAACCCTTCCCTTCTTTCTCTCTTTTCTTGATTCAGATTTAGATTTCCTACCCCTACAAACTTCCTTTATTTCCAGATTTGGTTTAAGAACACTTTCTGTGTTAACTTTCTTCATTTCAAGATCCGGTTTATGAACACTTTCTTCTTGAACTTTTTCAGAATGAAACCCATGAAGATGAACTGTGAAATAGAACACTCCCAGAGCTAATATCAGTACTGAACATGCCCATATCTGAATCCTACAACCCTGCAAATATGTAAAATAGTCAACAATAGTCAACTCAGTTACATGCAAGATTAACAGAAATATATCATTATTGATTTATTTCAGAGTCTTGCCTTATTGATTCGAGGTTGGGATTTGAAGGGAAGGTTTCTATCTGCATGCTCAAGAGCATAACGCAGCAAGTCAACAATAGTCAACTCAGTTGTGACTTCATTGTTATCTGAAATGTCAAATGTTTGTTTAATTGGATGAACACCAAGAAGCTCTCCAAGATAAACACAAACACGTGCACGTTCAGATAATGTAAGTAGATCTCCATGTGTAATTGCAATAGCAGGTTTATGATCTGAAAAATGGAAGATATGAGTGAAAAAGATATAAAAAAAACATATAGAATAAAAATGAAAAAAAAAAAATGGCATTTCATAATCCATATTCCATAGTAACCTTTGAAAGACAAAAATGGTGAACTGAAAACTTTAGAAACCATTTCTGTATACTGTGTGTCTGCTCCATTGCTGTCCAAACATTTCAGAATTGAAAGCCCGTTGACCACAAATATAACAAAGTTGACTTTCCTTCTTTCATAAGAGACGAATTTATCCTTCATTTTGGCGTTTGAAGTTGGGCTATATATCCGGAATAACATTTGAATAAGCATATAGCTAGAACAGTAGAACACTATGATAATCTGATGAGAAATAATAAATTATAATTTATAAAATTCAACCTTTTCACCAGTTCATTGTGAGAAACACCTTTTGTCATCCAGTGTTTGATCATCTCCAAATTTTCAGATAAATCATTGGAAAAGCTTCGAGTGTCATACAGGCAGAAAGAAGTTGAATTTCTTGGTATCATGTATTCGTGGAGGAAGGAAGTTCCATTTCCAATGGAAGAATTGTCTGAAACAATCAATCAAGATTATTAATTTCATTGGAATGATTGAAAATACAGAAAGTATTATATATAATGCACAGAATTGTGAAATGAAAGAATACATGTGACTTGGGCTCTTTCTGGTGCAAATTTGTCATCTTCAAAAACCCTTGAGATTCTGTTGATGAGACTACTTTTCCCAGATCCTTTTGGGCCGATTAATAGAAGTGTTGTTGTTTTTGGCAAGTTGTAGTCACTCATGGTCATCCCTCCTACGTTTTCTACCCATGATCCAGGGGTATAGCTGGAAAAAAAACTGAAAAGTTTCTCAAAAAGATCCTATTTATGGGGGTTTTGTATATGCTACAATACAGAGAACTAATCAGATAACTAAAGAAAGCAGGAAAGGAATTTACCGAGATTTTAGAGCCTGAAATTTACAAACTCTGATAGATTTCTATTTGAAGGTAGAGGTAAAGATAGCAATTGAGCTCAAGTGCTAAACTTAAATCGAACTTCGCCTATAAGATATTAATGAGTTCATATGATGATAAACAGTACCTCAAAATTTTACTTTTAGCCACCTCGATATTCAAAGCCCGGTGCTTCAATTCATTGTAATTCTTAAGAACTTGTGCGTAGACGCTGTGCGTTCTTGTTTCGTTTTCTTTGCTCTTCAAAGTGTTATAAGAATCTCGGAAGCTCGTAACATCAGATTCTGTAAACACGGATTCGTTCTCGTCCGTTGTTTTGGCTTTCAAACCACCTGGCCTGAATCAAAAAATTATTACTCAGGATTCATCTTAAATTGTTTTGCAGTTCAACAATTTCCAGCTTTTAGACAAGAAAACATACCTTGAAGTGGGTATTACGCTCAAACGATCAAGGAATTGCTGATTGATGGAGGATAGGTCTTCATCGTCAATGGAGGAATCCGGAAGAGAAATTGTATCACCGCCCATTACTGCTTGGAAATTGGAACGACGGTGGGTGAAAGTCGACGGATAAGGGTTACAATTCCTGCGCAGGCTGACGGTGGAGGAGGTGGCGTTTTTTGGAGTGTGCAACTAGTTATTAGTTATTACTACACTTTGACTTTGCCCTCTTTCTTCGTCTTTGTCTGTATTGCAGAACTCTCCCCAAGGTTTTGCAATGAAACAAGTTGAGCCTGTGTTTGGGATTCCTTTTTAGACCTTTAAAAGGACTTTTTTTGTAAAACAGAAGGGTTTTCTTGGTTGATACTAGAGTTAATCTTTTGATGATGATAGTTTTTCTCTTTTCTTATATAATTAACAGAAGTGTTTTTTTGGTTGATACTAGAGTTAATCTTTTGATGATGATAGTTTTTCTCTTTTCTTATATAATTAACAGAAGTGTTTTCTTGGTTGATACTAGAGTTGTAAACGTATAAAACATATACGAATATGTTTGTTTCTTTAAGTTTAACTAGACTAAAAAATTAAATTATTACGGACACCTAAACAAACACATTTTGCTTAAAATATTATTTTTTTCGTGTTTATTTGTTCTTGTTCATTAATGTGTTAAATGAACAAAAACAATTATAAATAAACAAACATAAGCATAAATAAGAGAAAATTTCAAACAAGCAACCATACATGAATAAAATAATTATATATAAACCTTAGAATGTAATACGGATCCAAAATGAAAAAACAATTCAAAATATAAAGTCTAGTATGTTGGAAATGATGTCTAAGATTATTAATTGTTTTAGTAATATTTTTAATAATAGTAGAGTACTTTTGGGTTGGTCTATGACACAAATAATATTAATGATATAGATAAAATAAGTTATTAATTTATTAAGGAATTCATAAATTAATTATAAATTATTTTAGTAATCAATTAAATTATTTTAATTAATAAAGGACTTGAATATTCCAGAAGCTCCTAGAGATCTTGATATGGACGGTTTTGACAACATTCTGTTAGGGATAAGGTAACTTTCAAATAAGATAAGGATAAGCCCTAAGAGTTTGTATCCATTAGGGATTTATCTGCAGCCTTTAAATAGACTGTTAGGGGTCAAACCTTCAAGTTGTTATTCACTTTAGAATCGTCTACTCTCTCTCTCTCTCTCTCTCTCTCTCTCTCTCTCTCTCTCTCTCACATACACACACAAACACATACAAAATTCAGAACCCCTCTCCTAGGGTTAGTGGATTTTGTATGAACCCTAATCTAAGGTTCTTCCAATTTGCTTTTGGAGTTTGTAGGCATGACTTCATTAGAGGGGTTCTACGTTGGATCCTTCATCCACTACAACAACTGACATTCACGATATCTCAATAAAGGAACCAAGTGGTTAGTATGTTCTTCTTTCTTTTAGTTTTAAAAGTATGTTGTTATAGCTAGTGATGACGTGCCTAAGACGGCACGACAGAATCGCGCCTAGCCAAAACACTAAGCGTTCCAGCCGGGCTAAGCCCAGCAGGCTCAGCGCCCGCCAGCGCCTCTGAGGACAGGATGCCCGGGCGAAAGGCTTGCGCCCGCTGAAGAACGCTCCCAGCTCCAAGACAAAAGAGACAATCAGGGGACAAACAGTGGATCAGACCATTACCGCCAGAGCCAATAAGAGCGCCCTGACGGTTAAGGACGCACGATCCTCCAATCAGCGCCTCTGATCTTGTCTCCCCAAAAAGCGATCCTGTCTAGTACGGACTGGGCAGGAGCGCTAGGTATAAAAGGATGCACCCTCGGACTCGCGAGGTAAGCTCTTCTCTCTAAGAGCAGACACCAAAAACCCTAGATATCTCCTAACTTGACCGTCGGAGCGTTCTTCCGGGAGCACCCTCCCGGAAAGCGGCTGACGGCCTCTCTTTCTTGTGATCTTGCAGGGATAACCGATAATCTGATCCACCAGTGTTAATCCAGCTGAAAGTCAGGTCACATCATTTGGCGTCGTCCGTTTGTGAGACGAAGAACACAAACTAAAAGCAAAAGACTGAAGAATCAATGGCGTCCGACGGCAGTGATGGACGCGATGGCTCTCAGGCTAGTCCCATACGCTCCATGGCAACGTTGGACGAAACACCGCCGCCCACGGCGGACAACAGAGCAACCCTAGGTGAGGGAAGCTCTACGATAACCACCAACACCGCCTCGCAACCGGCAACTCACCAACTGAGGACAACTCCGGCGGGGCCACTCTTAACCACATCCCTTCAGATGCCGCCATTCTTTGTACCTCCAACACAGCAACCACCGTTGATCCAACCAGCGATGCTGCCACCGAGCCAAGTTTTCAACAGCCAGCCGTCGTTTACAGTGACACCGTTCAACCAAGTGACGGGTGGATTAGGCCCAATGCTTTCTCTACCCCCACTAGCGCAGACTATGGTGGCTCATACGCCACCTATCTACTCGATGGCAGGTACGTGGGCCGGACCGACCATTGCCTCTAACCATAACCTCCAGCAGGCCTCGACAATCAACCCCTTAACACCAATACACTCTTTCCCCTCTGGCTATCCTCTCTAGTTGCCATTTCAACAGCACTCCTTTTACAGACCAACTCCAGGCTTTCATGCATCGTCGTCATGTGATTTAAGCCTCCAACACCAGTCACAAGGCACACCAGTCGTCCCAACCCAAGACTGCCTCTCTCGCAGCGTTACATCCCCGTTTGTCAAAGAGTTGCTAGACTACGAAATACCGAACACAGCCAAACTGCCAACGCTCAAAACCTATAACGGCACTACCGACCCGGACAGCCACATCGACACGTATGAGTGGACAATGACGTATCTGAAGCTTGATGAAAGGTTCTGGTGCACATATTTCTCGACGACTCTCGATGGAAATGTAGGCACATGGTTCAAGAAGTTACGTCCAAGCAGCATCTCCAACTTCGCTCAACTTAAATACCTATTCCTCACCAACTTCATGCAGCTACGAAAGTACAAAGGAGATTCTCATTCTATAATAGGATGTAAGCAAAAGGAGGGTGAAACCGTGCGAGAATATTTCACCCGGTTCATAAACGCCACGTTGGATGTGCTGGGACACGACGAAGGGCTTATAGCTGGCGCTTTCACATGGGGCCTTTTACCAGGTCCCCTGTCACAAAAGCTTATGGGTAAGAAACCCCAAACACGGGCCGAGTTAAAGGAAAGGGTAGAACGATATCTCAGGCAGGAAGAAGGGGAGGCAGCAAAGCAGGCATACCTAAATGCCATGACGACCAAACGCCATAACCCAAGTCATACGGACTTTCGAGGAGGAAGTAGGCACTTTGGCCAGGCAAGGAGGCCTCAGGCGAGGTTTCTCCCATTCGATAGAGACGACAGACGGAGTCGTCGACCAGAGGTGTATGTGGTATCAGAAAAACAACAGCCAGCCAAGTCACCCAAGAGCCGGTATTGCGAGTACCACAAAAGCAAGACACACGATACGATCAGTTGTTCGGTACTCAAGAAAGAAATAGAGGAAAAGCAGCTCAAAGGAGACTTGGTGGAAATAGCACGAAGCTTGTGCGCCAAGTTTGACGCCGAGAATGCCAAGGACGCGCATTAAGAAGGAATTCAACCCAAGGATATATTCATGATACGTAACAAAAGTAGTAGGGAAGCACAGCCGCCGAACTGTCGGATCCCCGGGCCCCCGGCGCGGACTCTCACGTTTTCTGTGCAAGACCCTCGTCCTGAGGGATGGAGAGGTGATAACCCATTGGTAATCCAGGCCTCCATCAAAGATGTGACCATACACAGAGTGTATATCGACATAGGGAGTTCAGCAGATATAATCTATGAGCACTATTTTCGGCTCCTCCCGGATCGATGGAAAGACAACCTGAGACCCACGGCAGGGCGGCTGGTCGGATTCACCGGCCACAGCCTGTGGTCGTTGGGCACGATTTACCTTCCCCTAACAATCACCAACCACGATAAGCAACGAAAGAAGACGGTCCTGATCGACTTCGTGGTCATCCGACATTCGGCAGAGTACAACATCATCTTGGGTAGAACGACCCTCCTAAAGCTAGGAGCGGTCCCGTCGACTATGCATGGAATCTTGAAATTCGACACTCCGGCAGGTCCAGCCACAGTACTCGCCACCCCTCCCAGAGAATTGCAGTGCTTTACGGTAATGAAGCCAGCAGAGATGACTAAAGAAACAAAAAAGCCACGACGAGATCCGGCGAAAGGAAAGGAAGTAATCAACGAAGAATACCATGATCAGCCGATCAGCATTGGTCATAACCTCCCAGGTCACGTGAGGGAGGCAGTAGTCGGCCTACTCAAGCGATACAAACACATATTTGCATGGACTCCCACATATATGGTGGGGGTAGATAGGAAGGTCATTGAGCATAAACTGGCAATCAAGCCAGGGACAAAGGAAGTGAAGCAGAAGAGAAGGGTCCAAGGAGGGGACCGCAACAGGGCAATTAATGCAGAGGTGGCTAAGCTGGCGGAGGCCGGAATAGTAAGGGAAGCAGTTTTCCCAACCTAGATCACTAATCCGGTTATGGTGCGCAAGCAGGACGGGTCATGGCGTATGTGTATTGACTTCTCAGACTTGAATAAAGCGTGTCCCAAGGACTGCTACCCCCTCCCGGAGATCGACCAGAAAGTGGAATCGCTGCAAGGGTTCAAGCTGAAGTGTTTCCTAGATGCATATAAGGGGTATCATCAGATTCTGATGAGCGAGCAGGACGAAGAGAAAACGGCTTTCTACACGGATCATGGCACCTTTTGTTACACCAAGATGCCTTTTGGTTCGAAGAACGCGGGTGCCACGTACCAGCGCCTGGTCGACTCAATCTTCGTTGAGCAAATTGGGAGGAACATCGAGGTGTATGTCGACGATATGGTGATTAAGAGCTCCCATGAAAACAAAATGTTGCAGGACATCGAGGAGACTTTTCGTACACTAGAAAGGGTCAAAATGAAATTGAATCCGACTAAGTGCACATTTGGGGTAGAAGAAGGACAGTTCTTGGGATACTATGTCACCAAACAGGGCATCCAGCCTAGCCCAGTTAAAGTGGACAAGTTTATGGAGACACCACCCCCAGGCACTCTCAGGGACGCACAGGGTTTGAATGGGAAGCTCACAGCTCTGAGTAGATTCATCTCGAAATCCGCTGACAAGGCCATGCCGCTATTTCATACACTGAAGGGTTGTATTGAAAAGAACAACTTTCAATGGACAGCCGCGGCGGAAGAAGCGCTCCAGAAGATTAAAGAAGCACTA